GAAGACTATATACGTGCTAGGCTGCAGCTGTACTATGGTTGTAATAGGAATTATCAGTCTCGACCGGGGAACAGAATAGAATAGAATAATTTTTATTCAATCTGGATTATTAAATAATACGTATTAAAAGTCATTTTTTATTTATCATTGGTTTGAAAAATACCCTGGGAAGAACCAGTAAGAAACTCAAAGATTATAAAACATTTATAACTATACAAAAATTTGTACAAGTTTTATATAAATTATAATAGAACTAGCAAGGTAGCGGTCATCACATTTTCAAGGATTATTTTCGTGCGTATATTAAATAACACTTTCACTGTCTGTTTTCCAGGCACAATAAAAATAAACAGTAAGACAGTATCAATGGCCCATAATATGTGGGCCACAGGATAGTGAAAGTGTTAATATTATAATAGCCCTTTTTGTAAAAATTTTCTTTTAATAAAACTTGTTGAATTACAAACTTTGAACTTAAATTTGATTAATAAAATAATATTGGAAATATTTTGGACGACAAAGACTTTTCCATAGTGTCACAATTCGCTCCATGTTGGCCAGAGACTTATAATTCCCATATTTATGTGGGACTTTTAACTAAAAATTGTGTAGCAACTGTTTTACTTGTCTAGCATTTAGCTAAAATGACTAATAGGATATTGGTATTGTGATTGTGTAGGTGAAAGGGTAGCCAGATATCTACTTTCACAATATTCCAATAAAATCGACATATCTTTGAGTAAATGTTATTCGAGTATCCTGCTGCTGTTTAGATTAGTCTTATTTATTCTGGGATTACAGACGTGGCACTATATACACATATAAATTAATAAAAACTAAATACATAATAGAATTACACATTATTTCATAGTATAATTGCCCATGCGCGAAATAGGGAAACTGTAAGTTGATTTCGCAAATTTTCAACGACTGACCTTGCGATTTATTTATGGTTATCGCAAAGGCCAGACGCACGGGAAATTATATACGCTTAAAATCGAATAGCAAAACCGTTGGAATCATCGGTATACGCAGGATTAAGACATTCTCTCATTTGTATTTTCCCTTGATGATCTTGGCCTCGATGACGTCATTCATTAGCTTTTTCACAGCCAGTCTCGTTCCATTGCACAGTCGAGGTTGATTAATGTCACAAATGATCCTACTTTTAATTGTAAATTGTGACGTGGTAGTCCAGGCAAATCCAGGGAATTCAAAAACTCTGTGGGATAGTTAACTACGTCATCCTGGTATATAACTGTGTAAACTGATTTGTAAGAAAACAACTCTCCTGGAAGAAAATTCTGAATGGTCGCATTAATATCATCGACATCTTTGGTTTAGGCCGCCAATATTACTAGTTCACTCAGCAAATTATGATTCGTGAACTGTTGTTCTATGTCTCTAAAAACACGTTGAATAAGTTCCTCTTTTGAGTCGACGAAATGACAAAAATCCGTGGGTAATTTAATTAATCCGGTCGATAAGTCAACTGCGGCATTACCATTTCCAATATCTAATAACTGCTTCGAAAACATAATCGCAGTTTGATCTTGTTGCAAAAACACTCGCATGTTAGTTGTGAATTGGGGTCTCTTTACATGCCGCCACAAATTAAATGATTTTAGTCATGCGTTTAGTTCGTCAGCAACAGTTGATCGGATAATAATTGGAAGAGTCTGACCAAAAATCACCTGAAAACAGAATCATGGCTCCACCGAAAATGTTTCAGTAGTTATGAAGATCTTTTAACGTTCTGTATAGTGACCTCTTATGGGCCATTGTATATTCATCCCAAACGATTAATTTGTATATCTGTAATATCTTCGCCGTTGCGCTGTTTTTGACGATGTTGCAAACTGGTACTTCGTTGATTTGCATGTTTAGTTGTAATTTGCAAGGCGCATTTTGCAGTTTGTCCACCTTTTAACAATATTTCAACAATATTCACCTTTTAACAATATTCAACCAACGCTAGGGCTAATTCATTTTGCGATCTGATCTTTGCCAACAGCAATGAAATTAAGAAGTTGTTTCCAGTAACTTGGGAGCATCAAGGAAGTAAATTTCACCAGATCCACTATTCACAGCTTTCATAAAATTATCGTTTTTTTTCTTGTTTGTTATTCATTCAATTGTGGAATATTTGAACGAACTGTTTCGGCCAATACTACAGTATTGTATTGTTGTTATCTTTGTAACTCGTGGTGAAATGCATCGCGCATGGGACAATTGGGTGCTGTCATAACCAAACACGACAATACTTTATTTACCATCAATAAACACATATCTTCTATCATGATCAATGTCTCATTGTAGATTTCAGCAGTAATTTGTAGTTTAAGATTCAAAGTTTGACAACGCACACGATGCAACTTATCCTCAGAAATATTATCCCTATATTTCATCCACAAATCTTCCGGATTCGAGAGGAAACATGTCGATATTATAATCGTCAACAATGTGCGCATTTGATGTAACAATGAAGATATGACTGTTAATCATTCTTGAGCAAGTGTAGTAGCACACACGCCTCACGGTTAGTCGCACAAAAATATCCATCAACTATTCTCAGTAGTTGAAACGATGTTGGACCAGGAACATTCACCATCAACAATCGAAGATAATAACATTCATTGTTATTTGGAAGTACTGTAGATGCGACCTAGACCGTCTGAGGAAAATACATTTGTGTAATCTTCAACTGGTGTTCCTTGTTTCCGACGCCGAAACGAATTCGATGATGCTGTGGCGGGTGGAAGGAAAAGGGGAGATCTCCCGCCGGGCAAGGTGTTTTGCCCGGGGAGCGGCCAACGCTCCGATTGGTAGTTCGGAGCTATTCTATATATGCTGCTTTAACATCGGAACTTTGTTAGTGCGATTTAGGCTTCGATGTGTTTCGCTTGTGGCGCGACGACAGCGCCGCCACAATGCGTTCCATGTGTAATAGAAAAGTGCAAACGAAAACTTCTGTTTGAAGCATTGAGAAGACACTTGTTAATGTAGTTGATGGTGGACGTGCCGCTCTATACGCCGTATTCTTTTGATTGAAATACACTCGTAGGCGATTTTATAGATGAACTGCCAAATAGACTACTGTAGGTTATATTTCATGGATCGCATATGAAAATATTGGTAAATTCAATTGTGCATGACTTAAGCGTATTAAAGAAATTACATATAACACGATTACACGTAATTTTTAAAGTAGTTTAATTACACACAAGTTTCACTAAAAACCTTATAATCATTACTATACTTCAAATTTTCCGATAATATTATATCAAATTTCAATGTAAAAAAAAAGCTTGAAAAATCCAAAAATGCACTACTCATAATGCTTATATGACCGTGAAAAAATTAAAATAAATGTAAATTGTTGTTTTATTCGTCAAAAAGTTCCAGCAGCATACACTGAAGTACACTTTCAAGTCACTTTATCAAGTCCGGAGGTAAGATCACATCGTAACTATCAAAACGAGCCCAAACTCGGCACATCTAGTTCTCCTCGTGGAAGAGTTCCAGTAGCAGTCATCAAGCACACCTTCAAGTTACTCTATTAAGTCCGGAGGTAAGGTGTCATCCTAACTAACAAAACGAGCTCGAACTCGTCACATCTAGTTTTCCTCGTCGAGGAGTTCCAGTAGCAGTCATCAAAGTACACTTTCAAGTTACTCTACCAAGTCCGGAGGTAAGATATCATCATAACCAACAAAACGAGCCTTAATTTGGCACATCTAGTTCTCCTCCTTGAGGAGTTCCAGTGCTAGTCTTCAAAGCATTCTTTCAAGTCACTCTATCAAGTCCGGAGGTATCATCATAACTAACAAAACGAGGCCTAACTCGGCACATCTAGTTCTCCTCGTCAAGGTGTCCCTGTAGCAATTATCAAAGTACACTTTAAAGTATTTCTATCAAGCCCAGAGGTAAGGTCTCATCATAACTATCAAAATGAGGCCAAACTCGGCACATCTAGTTCTCCTCGTCGAGGAGTTTCAGTAACAGATACCGAAGTACACTTCCAGATTTATAAAGTCCAAGACGCAGAATTGATATATAAATCCTACGTGCTTTTAGGGAAACAAAATATTATAATGGAAATCTGTGATTATAAAAATAATAATAATATCTTACCTTGGTCAAGAATGTATCAAATTTGGTTTTTGGAATATATTATAATATTTCTACGGCGATCTTTTTCGCTGCAAACAAGCGATACAATATCCACTCACAACAGCGACTGAGGCCGGAATGACGAATGTGGACGAATGACGGAGTGAAACAGTGTAATTAGTAAAAAAAATTAGGTACAAGGCTCACAAAACTCCGAAAATTTCGCCATTTCTTAGCCGAAAAAAAATTATTATAATTAAACAAAACAAAATTAAGCTGCTATTTACATTTCATAGCTTCCCACATGATGGATGAAGAGTCTTAAAAATATACTGAGTTGAACATTTGATATTTTAAAAAGTTATCGTGTTAACGAATACCGCATACTATGATATCAAACGAACTTCTTGAAGTGAAGTTCGATCATTATTATATGAGTCGCTTCATTCGAAGATACAATTAACTTAGGTAGTCCCTTAACCTACTCGAGGAATTCGCACGTTTAGAGAATCTCTCCGTTTACCCGTCGGTCCGATAGCCACTTCATTATTTTTAGAGATATTCATTTAAGTTTTTTTCTTTTTTTGTACGCCGGGTATGGGTGGGTGGGACCTTTGTATCTTCGAATGAAGCGACTCATATAATAATGATCGAACTTCACTTCAAGAAGTTCGTTTGATATCATATTATATTTCGTCGCTTCATTCTTCAGATACAATTAACTTAGGTAGATGTTTAGAGATAGTTAAATTCGGATATAAATGTTCTTAGGTTAATAAAACATTTATAGAATTAGGAAAAAACTTTAATTTTGGGTTAACAAAAATGTAATAATACTTCCAACATTCTCTTAATGATTTAAGCAAATAAATACATAATTAGTCTTATTATTTGTTACTGTTAATACTAATCGCACAGACGGATCGAGCAAATTCTCCTTCATCCGTTAATGGGCGGTTATAGAACTTAGCGAATGTCATAGATGAGGTAGACCACCCAGCCGTTTTTCTTATGGTGTCAATACAAACTCCGGCGGAGGCCGCTGCCGAAGTAGAAGCGTGGCGGGTGCTGTAGGCGGTGAATATAGTTACGTCCACACCGCTCTCTGCTAAAGTCTGCTTTATCCACCGACTTATAGTTTGTGACGATGCCTTTTTATAAGGTTTCTTATGAGTAAGCAAGAGATTGTCAGTACCTTCAGGTCGTAGCCTAGATGTTACTATAAGATAGTCGTCAAGGGTTCTTGCTGGACATATGCTTGGGTTCTCCGCGAAATAAGGCAGGAATAATACTGGGTGCTCTTGATTTGGTGCTGAAGTTTTTATTATGTCAGTTATAAAGATCTTAGCACCTGACGGGGATCTTATGATATTAGAGATTCTTATTAGAGAGAGAGTTTGTACGCGATGAGAAGTACACAGAGCAAAAAGTATAGTCATTTTCTTTGTAAGTTTTGTTAGGCTTATATTATTATTTGGATACCATTTCGATACATAATCAAGCACAGTTTTCGGATCCCAGGTACTTGTATATTTGGGAAGGGAAGGTTTTTGTCTATAAATACCCTTTAATAACCGCTTAATTCGTTCGTCTGACCCTATATTATTCCCGAGGAGTAGAGATAGGGCAGAGCGATGACTATTAATAGACCCATATGATGCTCCATTTTCGTACAGATCCACTAAAAATGATATTATGGATGATAATGGAGCTTCAAAAGTATTTACTTCGTTTTTTATACAAAACTGCCACCATAATCTGTACGTACTAGAATATTGTTTCATAGTGTTATCCGAGATGGATGCTAGCATGAGATCTAGTGCTATTTCCGGAGTGTTTAATCTCTTAAACGCTGTCCTGAGAGCGTCGCGGCCGCCAGGGAAAGGCTGGCATGAAGTCGGTGACGTAGCCTGTAATGACAACGCAAAAGGTCCCTATTGGGTTTAAAGAAGATAATCTCCGAGATGAGCATTCTTTTGAGCAGTGGAAACCAAGCTTGTCCGGGCCAGTAAGGAAACACTAGGATACCGGTGGCTTTGTCACTAATAATTTTTCGTAAGCATCTTAGTATTAAGGCGAACGGTGGAAATGCGTAGAAGAACGACGAGTTCCAGTTAACTGTAAAAGCGTCGATGGTCATTGCGTCGGGGTCTGGTTTCCATGAAATATATTTAAGGCATTTTGCATTAGTGCGAGAAGCGAAAATATCAATTTCAGGTTCCCCCAGACTTTGAACAATTGTTTTGAACGCCCGTTCCGATAATTCCCACTCCGTATCTACGTTTACTTTTCGTGATTCTTCATCAGCTTCGCGGTTGTCGTGTGTGTTAATGTAGGATGCAAGTAAGAAGATATTTCGCTTCTCGCACCATTGCCAAATAGTTTTGGTCAAATCATTTAAATGTGGAAACCGTATTCCCCCCATACGGTTTATGTAGCATATGGCAGTTGTGTTGTCCACGCGGAGTAAAATAGAGCAATTAAAGTGAGCGAAAGCAAAGCTTTTCAAGCCTAGGATAACGGCTAGTAGTTCTAGGTAATTAATGTGAAAGGATAATTCATTGTCCTTCCATCCACCGTTTACTCTTTTACCGTCACAAACAGCCCCCCAGCCTGTCTTGGACGCGTCAGTGTATATTTCTAAAGCAAATTGTTTATCTGCCCTCAATGAATTGCTAGTGGACAATATGTTTTGTTTCCACCATTGCAGGTCGGGTAAAACAATAGTCGAAAGTTTGATTTTTGCTTCAAAATCGTTATATTTTAGTAAGGCTAAGTATTTTTGACGTTCTAGAATTTTGGTGTATAACCAACCATATCTAACGGCTGGACAGGCTGCAGTAAGTATTCCTATTAGTTGTGACAATTCCCTGATAGAGCATTTGGGGAGTAAGGCAAATTTTTTGACATACTGCATGATAACATGTCGTTTGTCATTTGGCAAACTTAATGACATATCGACTGAATTATATATAAACCCGAGAAATCGACATACCTGTTTTGGTTCCAGGAAACTTTTTTCGTAATTAATGACAAATCCTAAGCATTTGAGCAATGATAACGTTTTACTTACGTTATTGGAGCATTCTTCGTAAGTGTCGCCTATGCATAGGATATCATCCAAATATATTACCGACCTATATCCTCTTTGTCGTAAAAAATTGATAGGTTCTTTCATTAACTTAGTGAAAACCCACGGAGCAACGGACAGTCCATATGGCAGAGCATTAAATTCGAAGCATTTTTTATTAAATTGAAAACGTAAGTACTTACGATGTTCTTTTGCTATTGGAACTAAAAGGTAAGCCTCTTTTATATCAATATTTGCCATGAAGCCGGATTTAGGTAAGAGTCTAGCTGCAGTCCTATGATCTTCCATTTTGAAATGGGTGGCTGAAATAAACCTATTTAGAGTCCTAAGATTTAGGATAAATCTTTTTGCTCCGTTAGATTTCGGAGCTAGAAATACAGTGGAAACAAAGTCGTGCATCGATCTACGACAGGGTGAAATAGCACCAAGTTCCAATAAAGATTTGATAGAATTTAACATATGCGGTTCATTACTGGGTACAGAATTACGGGGAACTGAAACTTTGTCTCACTTTGCTACAAAACGGTATGGAATACCCTTCTGAGATCCACTTAAGTATTTGAGCATTTTTAGTAATGTTAAGCCAGCAGTTATAAAAATGCAGAATTCTCCCTGCGTGTAACTTTAATGTTGTTGAGTTGTGGCACGATGTCTGCTCTGCGCCGATGGCTTCGGTTGGAAGCTGGTGCCTGGTGGCGCTCTTTTTTTTTTTTTTTTTTTTTTTTTTTTTTTTTATAGGAGAGGGGGCAAACGAGCATGCGGCTCACCTGATGGTAAGTGACTACCGCCGCCCATGAACAACTGCAACAACAGGGGAATCGCAGATGCGTTGCCGGCCTTTTAAAAAGGAGTACGCTCTTTTCTTGAAGGTCCCTAAGTCGTATCGGTCCGGAAAAATCGCTGATGGTAATCGATTCCACAAGGAGGTCGTGCGAGGAAGAAAACATCTTCTAAATCGCATAGTGGTGGACCGCCAATCATCCAGATGGTGTGGATGGTATCGGGAGTTCTGCCGCGATGTGCGTTCGTGAAATTTGGCGGCTGGGATTAATCCGAACAATTCCTCAGAGCACTCCCCATGGTAGATGCGAAAGAAAATGCAAAGGGATGCAACATCTCTTCGCAGTGCCAATGAATCGAGCCGATCGGAAAGGGCTCGGTCGTCGACAATTCGAGCCGCTCTGCGTTGGATGCGGTCAAGTGGAAGGAGCTGGCACTGGGGAGCCCCTGCCCAGAGATGGGAACAGCATTCCATGTGAGGCCGAACTTGCGCCTTGTAAAGTAGCAGGCGGTGTGCCGGCATGAAATACTGTCCCGCTCTGCTGAGCACGCCAAGCTTTTTAGAGGCCAATTTGGCCTTCCCTTCCAAGTGACCACGGAACTGCACGTCACTCGATATGTCGACTCCGAGGATACCGATACTGGCTGAGGCAAGAAGGGGAGTGCCTTGAAACTGAGGAGATACGACAAAGGGGTTCTTTTTAGCGGTAAACGCGCAAACTTGTGTCTTCTGAGGATTAAATTGGACTAGATTTAGTCGCCCCCAATGCGAGACTTTGTTCAGCAAAGACTCGACTTCAGACACAAGTTTGTTCCGGTACTCAGCGACGTTTTCCCGAGAAATATTGGCACGGCCGGTGTATAGAGCATCACCAGTGCTGTCATCCGCATAGCAATGAATGTTACCAGTTAGCAACATATCATTGATATGCAGAAGAAACAGCGTTGGTGATAGCACACAGCCTTGTGGAACACCAGCGTTAATAGGCTTGTAGTCAGAGCATGCACCGTCTACAACGACCTTGATGCTCCGATCTGCAAGGAAGCTGGTGATCCAATTGCACAATTTCTCGGGAAGCCCATAGGAAGGGAGCTTCGAAAGAAGCGCTTTGTGCCAAACCCGATCGAAGGCCTTCGCAATGTCCAGACTAACGGCCAACGCCTCCCCCTTGGACTCTACTGCCTCCGCCCATCTATGGGTCAGGTAGACCAGAAGATCACCAGCTGATCGACCCCGACGAAAACCGTATTGGCGGTCACTAATCAGCTGGTGATCTAATCAGCTCTGCGACTTGGTAATGTATTCTTCTTCGCCCCCCCCCCCTCTGTTTGACGAGAAGCGAGAAGGGCCTCCCCAGTTTCCCTGGGAGCGTGAGCGGCTCGTCGATGGTTGCTGTGACGGGTAGGAAGCTTTCAAATTTTGGACAGGTTTCTTAATTTGTAAACCGTGTTTCTCAATCACTTTTTTGGCTTTGATTTTTTCTGTAAGCTTATTTCCAAAGAGCAGGTCACTGCATAATATTAATAAAGAATTTATCCAATCCTGGGGTCACCAATTTCTTTCTTGCTTACGTTTCTACAAAATGTAGGTCACATAGTATTCTACAGCTGTCACTGAGAAACTTAACGGCTTGAAGTCTGTCTTTGCCATCATCTAAGAGGAGTTCGAGCCCTTTGTTAAGAGCTGATATCCCCTGTCCTAATTGTTGCTGTACGGCCTCGACTCTCTTGTCTCGAGTCTTGGTGCCCTCAGATACAGCGGCCGAAATCTCAGGGTTTAGTTTTGGCGCTTGTAATAATGAGCAGTTTTCCGGTATGAGATATTCTTTAAGTAGTTTCTCTTTCGCCTCTTTATGTATACCCTTTCGAAGTATAGGTAACCATAGCTGAGCTAACTTGTCGTGGATTTTCGGGCCCAACTTCGATGTCTCTTCGGTGGTCTCACCTAAGGCAGTAAGGATGTCAGGCTCTAATTCTGACACTACCGGTTCTTGGTCAGAGTCATATTTTGTCTCCTCATTATTTAAAGCGCTATTTTTGTCGCTTCGATACTCTGAATTCAAGGGTTCTATATCGGCGATATCAAGGTTTTCATTATCTAAAACAATAATGAATGTTATTGAGGGTAGATATTAAAACCAAAGGGAAATAAACTACTGCTCGAATAATAATCTGCTCGCCATGTGTATACACAAGTCATTAATTTTAAAATATTATTTTATATCTGAATACATTTTTTATTTTATATACGAATAGCTGCAAAATCGTTTCTCGAACGATTCCCAAGTACCTTCGAGTTAACACGCGGTTAACCTCTCGGTATTAAAATAACCTTCGTGATGACACACGGTCAACCTCCAGGTAAAATGCAAATACAATATTCCATTTCATTCCAAAAATTTTACTAACCGGAATCTTTATCAAAGTCCTCAGAAGACGAATAAATAATTCGTTTGTATTTTCTCTGCTCATGTTCCAATTTCCTAATTTTGCTTCGATAACGTTTAATTTTTTCTTCATTTTTTCTTTTCGGCATAATAATCACGGAATATAAATTATTAACACTTTTAACTTTTTACGAAAGGCACGTGCGAACGTTGCCTCGCACAAGTAAGGAATGAAGTGCCTATCGGACCGACGGGTAAACGGAGAGTGGGAGATACCAACACAAAAAAAAAAGAATCGATTTAAAATAGACCGATTCTCTAAACGTGCGAATTCCTCGAGTAGGTTAAGGGACTACCTAAGTTAATTGTATCTGAAGAATGAAGCGACGAAATATAATTGATAAATCCACACCATTAGCCACTATAACCCCTTTTTATGTAAAAATAGCAATTAATCGATTTAAAAAAATATTAATAAGTTCAACAATCATTTGTCTTTCGGAATATGTACCTTTTATATCATTTATATGTATGATATGATTGCTAGATGCGACAAAATGTTGGAATCTTAATTTTTAGGCCCTAGTAGAACATACCTCGCGCTTTGCGCTTACGGCATGCAATATGCGCCAAGTAGCTTCGTTGCTGCTTATATATCTATACGTAGTAGAGCCATGCTCAGCTATATTACTGGTATAGTTGTATAATGGGTTGCTTCGACCGGGTAAGAACCATGCTCTCACAGAATACTAGTAAAATAGCAGCTTAACGCTGCTGTGTTTCGTATGGTGAGTGTAGAGAACCAGAGACCCTCTTTACTGGAAACGAGGCATTCCAACTTAGTCCTCACGGGTGACAACGCATGTGCATTTTGATTCGTAATCGAGGATATATGTAAATGTCTATGGGCCACAGCAACCACTTACCATCAGGTGTCCTGTGCACTCGTTTGTCACCCTTGTCCTTTAAAATAAATAAAATATATTGACCCATCTGATACTGAGATACTTCATGACTTACACTTGTTACCACCATATCGCTATCTTTTAACATATTTAAATATATACTTTATCGATTTGACGGAGATACTCCAAAAGCTTTGGACAATATTAGCGTGTACCGCACAATCTAACCATTGTCTACTTCAAAATCTTGTCGTGTTACCTTCACAACTACCGATCGGCCACCGTCCGCTTCTGATCGACTACGATACAATGGGTTTTGATTGGAGCACTTGAAGTCGACCACACTGGGTCAGTTTTTTTTTTATAGGATAGTGGGTAAACGAGCATGTGGCTCACCTGATGGTAAGTGACTACCAACGCCCATGAACAACTGCAACACCAGGGGAATTGCAATTGCGTTTCCGGCCTTTTAAAAAGGTTTAGGCTATTTTCTTGAAGGTTCTTAAATCGTATCGGTCCGGAAAAATCGCTGGTGGTAGTCGATACCAAAAGGAAGTCGTGCGAGGAAGAAAAAATCTTATAAATTGCACAGTGGTGGACCACGAAACATCTAGATGATATGGATGATACCGCGAGATTTGTCGCGATGTGCCATGGTGAAATTGAGCGGCTGGAATTAGTCCGAACAATTCCTCAGAGCACTCACCGTGGTAGATGCGATAAAAAATGCAAAGAGATGCAACATCTCTTCGCAGTGCCCGTGAATCGAGCCGATCGGAAAGGACTCCCTCGTCTACGATTCGAATCGCGCTGTTTTGAAATGTTATTTATTAAAACTGCAAGGTCCGTGTAACATGTGTTTTTTTTTTATAGATGAGGGGGCAAACGAGCATGCGGCTCACCTGATGGTAAGTGACTACCGCCGCCCATGAACAACTGCAACACCAGGGGAATTGCAGATGCGTTGCCGGCCTTTTAGAAAGGTGTAAGCTCTTTTCTTGAAGGTTCCTAAGACGTATCGGTCCGGAGAATTCGCTGGTGGTAATTGATTCCACAGGAAGTTGTGCGAGGGAGAAAACTTCTTCTAAATCGCACAGTGCTGGAACGCCAATCATCCAGATGGTATGGATGGTAACGTAAGTTCTTTCGCGATGTGCGATGGTGAAATTGAGCGGCTGGAATTAGTCCGAACAATTCCTCAGAGCACTCCCCGTGA